GTGTATGAGATCTTTGATTCGATGAGAAAAATCCCTATGCAGAAGGTGCGCACAGAGCCTGTAACCACTGTGGAGGAGATTCTGCGGTGGCGCTACTCTWCCRTARACRCAGASCCCCCTTACGACCCAGAGCTTACAGGTATACCCTCTGCAGCTGTGAAGTTTCACTTCTCAAAACTTACAAGGCCACGCGAGCAGGTCTTCTCAGAGCACGTGATAACTTCCCTTGAAACAATTTCTCCAAGGACAATGCTGAAGAAGACCATGCTCTATGCTTAATATGTGGTGAAGAGGGATGACGGCAACCTATACACATTCACAGATGCTGACCTCCACAACCTCTGTGTATTTGACCTCATCTTCTTGCACAAAATTCTTAACAAATACATGGAGAGGAGGTCAAGCTATTCTACATCGCTCAGAAGGCTGATCGAAGTTATGCGCGCTCATGTGAAATACTACAGCCAGAAGGACTTCGATATCGCGATGAGGTTGGCCCAAACAGAATTAAAGATTTCCACTTCGAAGAACAGGACAAGTTGGCTACTTAGATGTCATCCCAACACTATTGTCCAAAATCCAGTCTTTGGGTTTGCGTTCTTGGACAAGGATGACATTCTAAGTTTCTTTGATCCCACAGAGGCGAACAAATATGCGACAGAGACTCTTGAGTAGGTGTTCAACCAAGTGGCAGCAGAGGTGCACAGAAGGCATCTAAGGGCGGATGAAGTGTTTGGTATTCTGGAAGTGATTAAAGTTCAAGTCTCCTTCAGAGAATGGATATTCAAGGTCTATAGAACCATCAAGTCAGATCTGCAGTTTGCCGTAGACGACTATCCAGACTCTGCTGTGGACTAATCTTCTGTAATAGGTAGGCCTGAGCAACATTTTTTTTTTGTAATTCTTTCAAATTTATGTAATTCTTTTCAGATGATGAGTTTAATCTCCTCTTGTAATTCTTTCAATTTAGTTAGTTCTTGCATTCAATTGTCCAATTTTACTTTTTCATACTTAGGGGGAGATTGTTAGCTCCAATATTTACTTAATGTAAAAGTATGAAAAAGTTTTCTGCAAGTGTTGACAGAAAGGTATCTTCCACAGAAGACAACAGAGGACCAGCAACAGAAGTTGTTTCATCGTGCAAGTCAAGAATGACAGAACCTCTGATGTCTCTCACAGAGGTTCTGGAAAATGGTCCTCTGGCAATAAGAACCTACAAGTCAAATATAGCAGAGCCTCTGAGATGGCTCACAGAGGGTCTGCGGATTCGTCTTCTGTGAAGATCCTGTTCTRCTGTTTTTCAAAGGTTGTTAGCTRCACGTGCTTCTCACGTGACTAGGTYTTTAATCGACTTTATTTGGACGGCTTGGATGWTTTCACACGTCTAGGTCATGTCAGACAGGTCATTAGGAACTAGTATAAATAGCAGCTTAGGCCTTTGTATTCAGAGTGCTTCCGTATTGTAATCGTCTATATTTTCAATCAATTGAAAAACCTTTCAAGCTATTCTATTGTGTTCATCTTCTTCATATTAATCTGTGTGTTCTTGGTTAATTTCTCTGTTTTGTTCTTATCATTGTTTCCGCTGCACTGTAATCGTCCTAAATATCATTCAGAGTAAGAGATCAAATACCAAAGCTGAATTTACAGGTCCTAACTGATCAACGTAATCGTCATACACTTTTACGTATATTCTCTTGATTAAGTGGTTTGTCGCCCTACAAACTGTAACACCCCACTTTCTACATTTGTATATAAACATGTATTTCATATATAAAGAAATACAACATCACAACTTTGGTCCCAACGGTATAAAAAACTATTATATAGAATTTACAATTCAAAAATTCCAAAATTATATTCTTGTACATCACATGTATAAACAACATGTATTTCCAAAATTCGTCAGATAACAGGTTGATCTTCATATAGCAGATATGCATATAAGGAAGATAATCACATTTTCCATTTCCCCTTATCCCTGGACATAGCCAGACCTGCAATGCATATTTTTAAAACACAAAATGATGGTTAGACCATTAGGTCTAATGAGAAAACCCCTTCTTTGCAATTACAGGGTGAAGATCACCAAAACATGTATAAAATCCGTATTTGAACATCCAACCACTTTGATAAAATATAACTTCAGTAATACAACAAACTGCAAGTTATAAAAATGATCTTACCACATAGGAAACATAGCCACTCAAGTTCTCACAGACATTCGAAACACAACTCTTCACATCTCTTAAATCTTATTAGACTAGAACTTACAGTCTCAACCTCCAAATCATACAAAGAAATACCAACCACCAGAGTTCTTGGTTATTGATAAAAACTTTTAAGATAAGAACAGTTTCAAACTAAAATGAAAACTAAATTGAATAATAACCAAAGATCCTCCGGCTTTTATTTCAAATCTCTACTCTTTTGAACAACCAAAATATGATATCTAATATCTCAAAATCATTTGAAACACGGGCAATTAATGCCTCTGGCTATAAGCTATTTTTCCCTTCTCAATAACATCGTTGTTATCATTTCAATAAGAGCAATATTTTCAAGTCTTCATGTCACAAAGAAATGTTAACTCAGAATTATCGCATCTCATGGATGTGACAACAAGAGCTATAATATAACCAGATCTCTCAAATGCCACCCTTACTCAATGTACACATCTCCTTGATATGTCACCCTTATCTCATGGTACACCGCTCCTTGATATGCCACCCTTATCCCATGGTACACCTCTCATTGATGTACCACCCTTATTTCCTCGTTAAATCTGCAGTTTTAGCCAATAATGGCCTCAAAACAGTTTCATATCAGAAACTTTATCTCAAGAACTCTCACAGTTCTTAAACCCACTTTTTCAATATCAACACAACATTCTTTCAAAAACAACATACTCATCTCAACAGTTTTGAAAGAAACAGATTACTCTTCTCAATACCAAAACATTTTGAAACCGTTTAAACCACATTTGAGTAACAATAGTCCTCATCGGACAAGGCATGGGTGATGATTGCCCCTCATCGGCCAACACTATGGCCTATAACCTTCTCATCGGTCACCATTATGACCGGATAACAACCTCACCAGTCAACACACCGTCCGGGTAACACACCACAACCGATGACTACTCTTATCGGACAGGCCTTGGGTGATATGCTGCCTTTGATCGACCAACATTCTAACCGGGTAACACTTTGAGTAATAAAACATATTCACCGGTCAATACTATGATCGGTAACCACTCTCACCGGTCAACACTATGTCCGGTAACAACCTCATCGGTCAAGACTTGAATATAAATAAACAAAACCGGACAATGCTTAGTCCAATGAGCATCCTCACCGGACAAGGCATTGGGCGATTAACACCCAAATCGGTCAACACTCAAAATCCCAAATACTTAATCCGGTCTATACTTGGGCAATAAGGTGCCCAATCCGTACAACCATTGTCCGATAAAGGGCTTCATCGAACAACACTTCATCCGATAAAGTCCTCATCGGACAATACATAAAGAACACAACTTCCTTACCGATCAAGGCATGACCTATAAGGGAACTTCATCGGACAACACTATGTCCGATTACAAGTCCTCACCGGACCATGCATTTAACACAAGAATATAACAATTTTACAACATCTTTGCTCATGAACTCATAACATAAAAGAACCAGAGTTTTAACAGTGGTACATTTTGAATTTTAAAGACTGTTGTAGAAAAACTCACCTTATGCAAGAGTTTGAGAATACAAATAGCAAACAGAAATCAACTTCCAGATGAACACATAATCACAGCTTCTATATTTGGCAAGAAATTCACACAGTACTCTTCTCCCAGTTTTTCTTTCTAAAAATGGCATGAGTTTGGTTTCTTCAAAATTTTCACTTTATATATATGCTTGCCTAAAGAGGCGGTTTGAAGAAACAATATAAAAATCCTCCCCACTTTTACACACACCATACATACATACATACATACATACATACATACATACATACATACATACATACATACACACACGCACACGCACACGCTCACGCACACGCACACGCACACGCACACATACATACATACATACAAATGCACATATACCTAAATACATGCACCAAGAATTAATATAAACAATTAATCACATAATCAAATAATTACTTCCAAGTATAATCGAAACCCAGTTATCACACAAACATGTTAAGTCGGTTATTAATTTAAAATTTACACAATTGTAATTGAATATAAAAAACCAATGAGAAAAACAAAAGAAAATCATTAAATGGTTGGATAATAAATGAAATCAAAACATCAATGAAGTTGGTTAATAATATCCATATTGATTGGTTAACAAGTTAGAATTAATGAAATTTAGTTAATTGATTATTGGCTCCTTGATATGTGTAGACAGAAAATAAACAAGATGAAGAGTCTGGAAGGCAAAAAAACCGCATCTCATATATATTAAGAAAACCCTAGATTTTTTAAATCCTTTTTTAAACGGTTCTGTGGTGGTACAACCATTTAAAAAAGTACTATAACCTTTTTATACGGTTGTTATAAAAAACCGTGTGAAAAGATGCATGTATTTTACACGGTCAACAATTTCTTTTTTTGTAAAAAGGGCAAGGGGCTTTTCGCAGTTAGAGTTTCCACAGAGAAACTGAAGGAGGTTTGTTTGGCTATTAACTTTGAGGTTTTCATGGGATTAGTTGAATTGGAAACAAGCTCACCAAACACCACAATTATTTGAGTTTGCTCTCTAGTAGTCACTTGTTCGAGTTCCCAGTGTGTCCGAGTTCCCACAGAGCGAGTGGAGGTTTGCTTGGCTATAACTTCAGGTTTTCATGGAATTAGTCGAATCGTAGTTATTTAGGTTTGCTCCCTAGTGGTCCGTTGCAGTTCCCACAGAGCCACCGGCGGTTTACTTGACTGTTAACTTCAAATTTTCATAGGATTAGTCGAGTTGCACACAAGCCAACCTAAGCATCCACAGTTATCCAAATACATAAACTATATAACGATATTGTCGTTTAGGGTGTGGTTAGATAACGAGATATTACAACACTCCCTCAAAAGTATCCCATGAACTACTATGGAAAAGTAAATGCATCCAAGTATAAAGGCATCGGAGAATTTATTCGCTAGCCACGCGGATTACTTGCTTACCAACATTTTTGCCAGAAAATAATCCAACAAAAGCTGCAGGTGCACTTTCAAGGCCATCGCTCATGTCTTCAAGATACACAATTTTCCCCTGCTTGTAGTAATGTGTAACGTCTTCCAAAAAACGAGGGTACAAGTGCAAGAAATCGCTCTGAAGGAATCCCTTCATCGTTATTCGCTTTGATATAACACTGAACATGTTGCGAAAACTTTGTGGATCATTTCTATTGTTCTGAGAAAGGATTCCACACAAGGCGATACGACCATGGTTTCTCATGTTTGCAATTGTTGCATCGAGCATGACTCCACCCACATTATCGAAGTATACGTCAATTCCTTGAGGGAAGTACCTGGTCAGTGAAATTACCAAATTACCCTTGGGTTAGATCAGGTAATTAGTTTCTGGCAATCTCTATGTATGCAACTATAACAAATTCTAAATATTGTTTACGAAAGATATGAAGCTTTAGTCACTCAATAATGTATCTCAAGAAACATCATTTATGAATCTGGGGTATGCTAATTGTTTCACCAATCTGTCTTCATCACCAAACTGTAAATTTTTTAAGTAACTATACCATGGTAAGAGAGATAAAATAAAAAAAACAATTGCTATAGTTATTGTTATTGAAGATATATGATTAAATACAGTAACCCATTACCTTGCCAAAGCTGCCTCGAGGTCTAATTCTTCTTTGTAGTTTAAGGCTTCATCAAACCCAAGCTTATTCTTCAGAAGTTCCACCTAGTTAAGGTGCCATTTTCATGTAAAGTGTCAATACCATCTACACAGTATTCTTCGTCACAAATACAAAAGTTATGGTTTGACTTATCAGGGCAAGTAGACGAAGTTTGAATGTTATAAGAAGAATGAAATATTTGTAAGTTTACCTACACTGGATCGTACTTTATGCATTACCCCAAGTATTCCAATCAAAATCAATCTTTATGCATGTTCCATTGCACCCAAACCAAACTACATTTTTATAAAAACTTTTGTCAATTTACATCACAAGGGGAAAAATAGTCATTTTGATTATCAGATGCCTATGGTGGCCGTAGTCAGTCATGGAGATATGAATTATGGTTATATGGCCAAAATACTACGAACATAAAAATGTTAAGTGAATAAAAAATCCATAACCGTTATGAGCTTGGAAATTATGTTATGTTTCTGAAATTAAAAATTTTGTTTTGAATAGAGAAAGTAGCATGCATATTGAGCAAATTAAATAATACGTACTTTCTGGCTTGTGCCAGTGCTTCCAACCACATAGCATCCGTGTATCTTAGCAAGTTGACCAACAAGCTGTCCAACAGCAGAGGTGGCCGCAGACACATAAACATAATCTCCTTTCTTAGGAGCACAAGCCTCATAAAAACCAGCATAAGCTGTAAATCCTGGCATGCCTGCATAATAGTAGTGTTTGGTGAATGATCAATAGTCTTAAAAATGACATTCAACAATAAAGATAGTACGGGAGCAAATGTTAATAAAGACAACGGAGAATAATTAACTTAAACTTGCTAAATTGTTAGCAAAGATAACGCTACAATTTCCATAGACATCTGGGATGAGAAAAAGTTTGACATCACCATATAAAGTTTCCCTACCGTATCGGTCCCACTGTCATCATGGGCATGGTAAATTGTGTGCCCCAAGGGCAGGTGATTGGTGCCTAGACTGGAACCCCAGACCTTTCATTCATTCTGCAAGGAAGCCCACCTATGCAACCTCATAAGCTCTAACTGAAGCAGGTTTTTATATCAGGATGTCTCATATTGATCGCAACATATTTTTGGAAAATGATTTGAGCTAAAATCATTTATTAGAAGTGGACAATCAAGTGGTTTAGCCAAAAGTCATCTACCTATTACAAATCAAGGACTAGGAAGAAGATCCAGGAAGAGACCACCATCTCTGCTCACTCTTGTCCAACGATAATGAACTGAAAGACTTAGGAGACATCGGCTAATTCAGGAGTGTTACCTACTTATACATTGTCATTATAATATATTGTTAATGATATTGATCTACAAGTTTCCTTGTTTTCTCCAAATCTATTTATTAAGTATTTGACTATAAAAAAGTGTGTTAAGTTTAAACACTTCTTAAAACCAAAGTTCTATGAACTCGAACGTCATGTATCATTTCTTTTTATCACAACAATGAGTGAGGTCTCACAAACTAATTTCCCAAAAAGCAATGATCCCTTATGTGGGATTATTTTGGAGGTGAAGTGTTCAGATCTTTTTGGAGGTGATGGCTTAAAACCCTTTTTGCCCTTTCTAAGAAATGCAAACATCAAAATAATGAAATATATAGTTAAAGAGATATTTGAAAAGATGAAACTTGAAGAAATAAGAAATGATAAACCAGAGAGGAAAATATTATGCAATTAAATGAAGTGTTGAAGAGAGAAAGGAGACGCACCAAGAACACCAAGATGGTAAGAGAGAGGAATGCCATCAACATGTTGAATTTTCTTCAGTTGACCAGTGTTCTGGATCAAGCTGTATTCTTCCCAATTTGTAATCCCTGACACTATATCTCCACTTTTTACGTCTGGGCAATCAGAATCCACCACTTTTGCCACCCCGTATCCTTCTATTGCCTTCAATTATGTTCACAATATAACAATGGAATTACTAAGGGCATTTATGTAAGAATACCATCCCAACTACATAATTTTGCTACATTTTATGTATAAATATCTTAGTTATTCAGGTGGTCTACTGGATCTCTGCAAGGTTGTGTTTGTGTTTGGTTCACTTCATCAGACACTTCCAATAAGGGTAGGAAGGAAAAACTTCACTGCTGAGGTGGGGTTTTTCATGTAATTAAAGGAAAAAACAATATAAAAGGATGCATGGCATATTAGCAATCACCATATTACTGCATAATTTACAAGTTGAAATATTGAAAGCTTAACCACTACTCTGTATCAGGATGTCCAATACATGGGAATTGTACCAAGATTTTTTCTTGTACTTACATAAAAAGTCTTATTTGCTTGATTGTCCTGTAGGAGACATATTCTTTTTAACTTCAAAAAGTATCAAGAATGTAGGCCGAGTTTCCTGGATTATGGCAGATTGGCCTACTATTAGATAACGGAAATAATGTGTTTAAATTTTGATAATAGACACAACACATTGTAATAAATATAAATTTAATGTGTTGAGGTCAAATGACCAAAGTTTAAAAAATATAAGAAAAACGTCAACAGCGGAGCCAAAGGGAAACAATTACATAAGAATTAGACTTCCAAGATCCAATTCATTAAAAATGTGTTCACTTTCATTTTACTAATTAAAACTCTCAAAAAAATTGCCTTTTTTATTTCAAAATGTTAGTTGAATATAAACAACATTGTTGGCCTTATAATACAAAAAATACTTCATTTGCTCTAAATGAAATTTCTTTGAAAGAAACTACCGTTCTTGTTAAAATGCAAAAATGATGTTGTACTTCTCAAAAATGAATAGTTTTGGACAAGAATGCCAAGTAAAATGGCTCGTTTAGCATTTACACTTTCACAACGTCTTCAAAATCAACATTCTTTCAAACGTCAAGTGCAATGATCCAAAAAGTCGTTTACTCAAAAAAATCCTTATCCAATAAAATCAACATTTGACTTATTTGATGGGTTACTGTTTTGGAGGTGGTATCATATGCATAATGCATATACATATATACACAAGAATAAATCTACACATGTGTGTGCATCTTACTAAAGGAAAGAAGATGGTGGAAAGTCCCAAAGAAAGAAGTCTTCATAACAGAATACATAACTGTTAAGGGAGTTAGTTATAAGTTGCAAATTCAGTTATACTGACAGTACAAGAAGTGGCTTTGGCGAATATGCAGAAATACAATTCAACCACACAAAAATAACACGAGTTGCAGAACCACGATACCTCCTTCATAGTTCTTCGTTTTGATTTCTCCGCGTAGTTGATACATACATTTGTACACGGGTATATATTTATACATATGCACGCATCAAAACATGTACATATATACATCTGTGTATAGGCATATATGTATGCACGTAAATGCCACTTATACGTATATGCAAGTCAGATTATCAGTATATGTACGTGTACACCACAGACACACACACACAAATATATACTTGTATATTTGCTCGTGTATGCACATACGCATGTCGCATATATGTGTATATATACATATATATATATGTGTGCAGACATCTAGCTTTTGATAGAAATCATAGCATTGATTTTGAGTTTGTGAGTTTGTTTTATGTTTGAAGATTAACCCAAAATGCATTTTGGGCAGGCTATCAAAGAATTCCTAGTATTATAGGTGGGATGGGGGTTCTAATTGTTTCCATCGAAGTAAATAATGTGTGTAAATAGAAAGAGAAGATGTCTAATTGCAGAGATCATCAAAAGCCGTCTCCCGAAAGATTGAAGTATCGTAGTGTACGACATCAATCATCCACAAAAGAATCAAAATACGAAATGAAAAATGAACAAATAGAAAAGGAAAGATATCGTACAGATCCAGGGACGAAGGGAGGGATAAAGGAGTCATGGCGATCGCGCATCCGGCCACGCATGTAAGTATCGCAGGATAAGTAGAGGTTTTTCACTAGAACAGCATTGGATCCTTGAGGTGCTTCCAATTTGATTAGATTTCCATGTTTCAATTCCATGTCTGTTTCCACTGGAGATCCATCGGTGTAGCCTTTGAAGATGACTTGCAAGTTTTCCACTGCCAAATCTTTCCCCATTCTACTTTTCTCTCAGAGATTGAACAAGCTTCGAGAACTATGTCGAACAGACCCAAACCCCAAATAAAACACGTATAACATAGTATTTTTGTATGCGACACTACAGAAATCTAATAAGAGTAGTGGATAAGCTTTAAAAAAAGGTCATCTCGTTATGTTAATATTAGTGGTGTACCTGCACGCACGATGCAGCACGGGTGAATCAGAATTCCGAAATATTAGTTTGTCATTGAATCATGAGTATGTGTAGTTATTTTCCAAATCAACTAATATATAAAGTTGAAGGTTAATATGGTGTATTAGCAAGACCAAATGAAAAATAATTGCACATGTATTGAGTTTCTAAACCCATATACTCATAGCTTATTACAAAACTTGAAATTCCTTTTAAAAAGTTGAAAAACGTGCTTTGTAAAAAAAACCTACGTGTTGTGCGCCTCAAAGGGTCCACACTTTACCCAAAAGCTATCGAACTAATTGTAACGGCATGGAAATATTTTAGCACCTTGACATAATCCCATAAAAAATATTTTTCTAGTCCTAAAATAAATGTTCTAATGAAAAATGTCCACTTTTTAATTGAAAAAATGACGATTTCACATTAATTATAGAGGAAGTACCGAATTTCTTCATCACTTGACTAAAGACAAAATCATGATGCAGTCTATTTACTTTTGAAAATACACTTGTTTTGGGACAAACTAAAATAGAAACGTAGATATTTAATTTTTATGTGAGGAAGTATTTAAGATTGACAAAAAATAGCACATTTACATGCGGATCAGTTGTCGCCGGCGAGATCTCCCCACCGGACATTGTAGTTTGCCGCCAGACAATGAGCTCCTACAGATCCTCTACTGCCATACAGATATAAATCCGGTGCAATCTTCTTGGCTTCAAGTTCTTTCAACAATGGCATGAATATAGACCAAGCAGCATCGAGTTTATCACATCTTATGAACAATCTTCGTTCTCCTCCGATCGCATCCAACAGAAGCCACTCATATGCATTCGGGATTTCTTTCGAATATGTTCATCATCAATACAAATTCTCGTTAAATGTGCTACAATTCTCTTGAATTCTTTTACGAGATCATATGAACAACCAAAGTTTTTACCTCGTACTGTAGAGCAAATTAAGGTCGCTGCGATCGAGCCTCATTCCAAGACCAAGAATCTTGTTATTGATCTTGAGATAAATGGATTCGTCAGGCTACACACGAAGTACGAGCTCGTTCGTAGCCTTATCCAAATCCATCCCAAATTTTCGCTTGTTTAGATTACCAGGAACATGTCTGAATTAAACTCTGATCTCTGCCCTGCAATCCCATTTCACATATGGTGTATAGTAGTTGAAGATTTGTTTCCTATGGGTTAGAAGCAGATTCTTTCGATGGTCTGTAAACGTTTGAAAAATGGGGCTCAACTCACTTTATTTCAAAAACGTTTTAAAGGAATTGTTAGGATGCCTAAATACATCTTTAATATTGTAACACATTTACAAAGAATGCATAATTGTTTGGTCCTATAAACGTAAGTCCTATAAAATAGTCTACCAAAACATTTAATAGACTCATAGCTTATTCGATCCACTATACATCACTGTTTGATGGTGGCTTTATGAGGTCATATCCTACTCGATGAAATTTCAACGTTCACTTAATGTCTGAGATATGTTGAGAATTTGAATTTCTCAAGCTGTCCATGAAACAAATCACACTTGCATGACAATTATTGTTATTCTTGCAAATCAAACTATAATAGAAAAATAAGAAGAAAATAAAGACCTTGTATCGCTAATAAACATCTTGTGCAGCAAGCATAGCTGCATAGGGAGATGATTCCTCCCTATCAACCTTCACTTTCATCCCACCTAGAAAAGAAATTCAATGTATAGTCAATAAACATAATAACAATTGAAACTGAAGACCAAACTCAAAGCAATGGCCGTTTACCCGACGCACGATGCCTACCTGGTAAGTACTTACCATAAGATTGAACACTTCAATTTGTCGGGTAAAATTTTAGTCCATTAAAACAACATCGTACAGAACATTTAAATCAGGCAAGCACTTACCGGGTAAAAGTCATCACTCTCACTTACTGGGTAAGACTCTTGGTCTTGTTGTCACTCTTACTGCGTAAGATACTTAGGGACCGTTTACCAAACGCTTACCCAGGTAAGCGCTTACCAAGTAACATTACTATACCGAATGAATATGGTAAGAACCAAGAATCTTACCCGGTAAGATGGAGACAAGGACCGAGTGTCTTACCCGGCAAGTGAGGGTTACGACTCTTACCATAGTAAGCGCTTACTGGGTAAATTGTTGCATATAATGCCTTTTTGGTGGACAAAAGTCTTACCCAATAAGTAAGTGGTAATGTTAAATTTTACCGGTACGCGCTTACCGGGTAAGTATTTGGTAAACGTCCCCTTAATCTTTATCATATTCATTCAGTTGTGTTTCGGTAATAATGGAAGTTATGTTGAGAAGCTTAGGACACTGTATAATTTAGGACAATAATCATGTTTGACAATTCAGTACCATTACATGTTTGACGTGATTCTTGTTTTATATATATGAATTGATTTTCTATCCATGGTCAATGTGGAGAACTTTACATCATCACATCAGTGAATGATGAGACCTTGCCAGAAATGCCCATTTCTCAATCCAATTATCCACATCTGCAAGAGTTTCTCAAATTATATAGAAAATACAATTTCATTTTTTTTCAGCATGCAACTGTCAACAACAGCAAAAGACAAAAGTAAAAACTAACCAACTGGAAGGCCCAGTAAACCTCTAGCTACAGCCTTCAAGTACTGCAGTGTAATATTTAGAAAAAAAAACCTTGTTAATTGTATACAATCAATTTGACAGATGATAATCCAATCAAGTGAGAATAACAGAAGGGATAACTTACTGAACTCTGATTCATATCTTTCTGAAATAAACTGTATAGCAGAATCACAGCTGGGACCTCAATCAGCTGTAAGAAGAAATTCAAATTCAGTTGTTAAAGAATGTGCTTTACTAAATGGCAGGTAAGGATGTATTCTGTAGTTTCGTCTACTTGGCATTTTCTTGCCAACCAAAGAACTTCACAATCTTTAGTAATCAAGAGATATCATTCAACAATGTCTACTTCACAATCTTTGGTAAGATTTTTGTAGTTTGAAAAAATGGCAGCAACTTATGCTTTATAAGTGAGAAGGATGTGCATATCCTATTTTACATCCTATAAGGGCATCAAGAAATCAACACTTGAACAAAATTCAACTTTCCTACTCCAAAAAAACATGAAGCTGTAAATTCCACGGAGACATATTACGAATATACATTGTCAGAAAGAAGAGAAGATGTAATCATTGAAAAAGGATGAAGAGGAAACATCTCCACATACCCTTTGTCTCACCAAAATGGCCAAGATATAAGATAAAAAGTAACACCAAGATTGAAAGAGGGTTGCAAATACACCGTGAAACACATAGCCTAAACCATCTGTCCCTACTGAAAAGTAAATCAAAGAAATTTTATTTGGTCCCCACCAATGCAGACCCTCAAATGCATTAGTGAAGAGAGTAGTGCTGAACAACATTGATGTGCTTTTAGATGTCGATAGGTTCGGAACACTTTGGAGCGAAAAAGGGACAAAAAGAAGATCTTTGACAGCTTTACGAGGCTATGGTATTTCAAGCATATCTAACTCATCCGAGTTCAGATTTAAGTTATTCAAGATGATCTGGAAAGCTAACAAACAGCCCCACAACTTTTAAGTTTTGAGTTTCTGCAGATTTGGACTACTTCTAAGATGAAATTGACGTTTAAGGCGGAAAAGAGCTGCTGGACAGCAGCTGACAGCTGCCATGAAAGTCTTAATCTTACCTTGAGAAAAACTTTCGTGGCTCTGTCATTGCAAATGACAACAGGTGATAACATATATACACACACAAATATAGATGGTTGGATAGTTTTTAAACAACCCCTAAAACAGTCCATTTAGTTGCCTTGCTTTCCAAAACATTTGTAAATAACTCCCTCTCAAGGTAGGTGTTAATGACCCTCTAAACATGTCCTAAATGCTTCCCAAAACATCTGTAAAGATCCCCTAGGATAGCTCTAAACAAGGCCCAAAACAATCCATATAGTTGCTGATTTTTTTATCTACCAAACAGCTTCTTTAGCTGCTGATTTTTAGCCATAAAACAGACATTTAGCTGCTGATTTTTTATCCATGGAACAGCTTCTTTAGCTGCCGATTTCACCAGAAAGCAGCCCCGTAGCTACTGATTTTTAGCCAGAAAAAAGCCCTTTTAGTTTCTGATTTTTACACATAAAACAGTCCCTTTAGCTACCAATTTTGAGCCTACAAAGTCTGTAAACCAAGGTTGCACCTTGCTGTTGTTTAGTGCACTCAAAACAATAACATTCAACATTAAAATCAACTTCTACTCCATCCTAATCATCTTCAAGAACAAACATTTGCTACATCAAACATTTGGTTGTTGATCTATGATCTAACCAAATCCAAAACAAAACCAGACCTTAAACCAAACATTGGTTGTTTATGGCATGTATCTAGGTTCTATGTTAAGACTTAGGCTAAAAAATTTAACTGTCATCTTCTCAATTTCTGCATCCTCTTCTAGCTTAGTTTCTATAGTCAAAGCAAGTAACTTCATAAAGGTTGCATTATAAGCAATGTAAACATTTATTTGGCTTAGGAATAATCAAATAATGGTGAACCACATTACACATATTCGCCAAAAACACCCTTAATTTAGGATCACTTCTTGTTTCACTACCAATTTATTAACATATTCGTCTGGCATTTCATAAATAAAGTCTTATATGCAACAGACAATTTGTACCTTCTACAAAAGCATTACAGGAGAATGATGAAAGGTCATGTTTTCTTATCACACGTATCAAGCAAAAGAGTTTCCTAACAAGTTCCAGGAAATTAATGCTAAATTATATTGGCAATCAAAAAACCTCCATCTCCAGGTACTGCGTATATTTGTATTGTCATTTGTATCTAAAGGAATACAAGCAGAACAAACTCGTGGGGAAGATAGTAA